ATTTATGCACGAGCTTAGTTTACAATACTAGCTAGCTTTACCTCAAGGAGCTCCATTTTGCTCCCTACTGTACGCGGCACTTTTGTTTCTCTGGGCTCGCTGTTTTTTTTATTCACCCTTTTGGCTCATAAAAACCGCCCAGACAAGTGGCAAATGACTTAAAAACACACAGATACGGAATTCTATGAAAAAATATCATAATAAAAATCTCCAGCAGTTAAAATAATTGTCACAGTAATAAAGCAATGCACAAAATTATTACTGACCCTATGGAGGGCAGATCAAAGGGTTATAGGAGCTATGAAAATGTCCTAAGACTATAAACTCTAATTTACTTGTTATAAATATTTATTTTTATATTTCGATTTTTGGTATCTAGTTCCCCTAGGTAGAGAATTTTAAACTAAAGTGAAAATGTTGAGGGCTTGGTGCTGAATACTAATTAAAAAGAATACTTTCTATGTTAATTATATATGAATACCCTAAGGGAAATTCTAAATCTATCTCTTTTAGCTTAGGAAATTACCACCTCCTACCTGTCAGTTAACCTGGTGAAGACTCCTCCCATTAGCCAAAATATTGTTACCCAAATAGCTCAGTTCCTACTTATAAGATTCCATTGGGGCAGTTCCTTAAAGCTGCCCTCTGCCAGTTGCTTACTGCCAGCAGTTACTGGGTACAGTACGGTTCGCTGTTGCAATTCTGTTCTGGCTGCACTTGCTTCGTTTTATAGCTGGCAAACATTATGGCCATGATTAATGGCAGATAATAATTTCGAGTGCCGAGCACTTGACAGCATACGAAAAGTCAGAAAACTATGGCCAATGGACGCCCATTAGCCCAGGCCGCCCCCCGAAAAAATGCACAGTGGACGGATGGAGGACTGAGGAATATCAGAGGAGGAGTTCGGGAGATGGAGGACGAGTAGGAGGAGGAGGGGGCGGACATGGACGAGGACGAGAAGTATGAAAGGACAAAGTGCAGTAAAGGCAACTCTGCAAATGACTGCTGCAAAATAAACAGCAACAGCAACATCAGAACAGAAGCTGAAGCAGCATAAAACTATTGCCATGTTCTGTTTGCGGCATTAAATGCCCCCCTCTCGCTCCCCTCTTTATATCCTTCCCTTTCACTCTCACTACTGCCATCTGTTTCAGCCTGGTGCGTGTGATTTACTCCGCCTGGCGTATAAATTATGATGAGAAAAACGCTCGCTGGCGTTGATCAGCAAATTATTTTATGCAAATTAAGAATCGTAAAAAAATATGTTATAAATAAAGGAATATATAAGAGGAATAAATGGGGCAAAGTAGTGGTGCTGTAGGAGAAAAGTCAACGGGGTAAGTTGATATCTTTGGGTGCCAGGGTCAGTTGACCACAATTTGGTTATGGTTTTGCATTCATCCAAAATTGATTTAGCCAAACCGTTCTCCAAAACATCACCCCCGTTTCTAAATTTCTCTTGATGACTTTTGTCTGTCACAGCTGTTGCAAAATGACATTTAAAGCTTGCTTTTTGGCTAATAACTGGGTTTCGGATTTAATTAATGGTTGCAGATAGAATCAAAGCAAAGTTAGGAAACATTTTTAAATCCAAGATTTAAAGAGGAAAAATGCAACTATATCCCTAAGAAAATGCCTCCCTTTAAGCTTTGATCCAAACTTGATCTGGAGTTTGCCGGCGAGTTTCCGGTTACATCCGTTGGTTAAAAGCTTTGCCATCAGGAGGAAAGACACCAAACGGGCCAAGGACACAATGCCCCACAACCAATGAGTGCAACTCGAGGTGGAGCTGCATCTTTGGCCAAGGATCCGGTCCTTTTCTTTTGTGGGCGTGGAAGTGGCCGTCATAAAATTACTTTTTATCATTGCAACATGGACAACAGAATGGCGCTTTTGGGAAGGTCCTTGTCTCCTCGAAATTTTACCGAGTGGCACATACTTTTTATGACGTTTGCCACAAGGCATCCGTCCACGTCGCCGCTTTATGTTGCGGCAGCTAAGAGGTTGGCCCACGTGCTCGTCCCCACATTTTTCTCTCAGTGCAACGTATTAATGGCCCGCATGCACGCTAATAAGCATAAACGCAAACGCAAGAATGTGCGTGTTAAGGACTCTCACTACGATTCGCTCCTTTGACTTCATCGTGCACTTTATTAATGTTATTAAAAATCTAACAAATGCCCAGCAAGTGCGCAGTGCACATTCGCTGCGGTTTATTAATGCCACAAAAAGGGGCAATTAATGGACAGCCCTTGACCACATTGTTGCTGCTAATAGAGAGAAAACTGGAAAACAAGCGAAAACTGGCCAAAATGAAACACCCTCAATTAGGCGAAAAATTCTCCGCTGCTTTGGCAACATTCCCTTTGCAAAATTTTAAGAATTTTTCAAACAATTTTCCCAGCTCTTCTAAAAAAAAAAGACGGATGAAGTGCACTTTAAGCTAGAACAAAAGGTAAATGGGAAAAGCAACAGGTGCGAGCACCAGTTTTCCTTTTATTGACACTTTTCCTGGCTTGGACAATTGTTTGCCGATGCATTAAGAGAGAAATGGAAAATGAAAAATGGAAGTTTAAACAGAGTGAATGAATGAAAAAGCATTTTTTTGCTCAATTCAATAGCCATTTGACAAGTTGACTCTGGGAAACAAGCCCGACTGCATCAACTGACTTAATTAAGACAGATTTAAGTTAGAGGAAAAGTCAGTCAACACTTCACAATGGGCAAAGTGTGAAAGCTTCATTTGCAGCCAAGTAAATGCCACATTACGACTATTGCCATTGCCAAACAAGGATTCTCCCCCTATTCTCCTGCAGGACAATTGCCAATTTAATTTAAACATTTGCGCAAAGTGCAAGTTTTTGGTCACTTCCGTTCAAGCTGAAGCTGCTACTGGCACTTGATTTGTGGCTACACTGCAAAAATAACATCAATATATACAAAGACAATTAGTCTCCTTATTATTAACATTTTTTTTCTAAATAAATTAATTGTTACTAAACAATCAATGTTAGACATGGTGAAAAATGAAACACATTTTCAATTAAACAATAGATACGATCAATTCTTTCTTCTTTCAATGTCAAAGAGTATTTAATGGGTATTTAAATGCCGCACTTATATTAGTCTTATACAAATGTAAATGATACAAATTCTCTATTTCTTTCATATTTTTCGGTGTAGCCAACAGTTAATATCTTAAGGAATTCTGGGACGGCGACAACTTTGTGGCAGGATGTTGTCATTGTGTGTTTTCGCGAAAATGCGGTGAAAACAAAATGAGTACAAAACTGCTAAGAACGACTTCCGTCCCACAATTTCCATGCTGAGCGGAAATGGAAAAACACTTGCCAACACACAATCACCAAAGCCACCACCACCCGGTTTTCATCTCGTCTCCTCATTTTCGCTTTGTGCTGCAATTAAGGAGAACACATGCAGCTTGGCCAAAAGCAGGTCAATACATATTGGTGGCCCCCATCCCTAATCTTATTTCCAACCTCATCGGTATATGTATATTTCATGTAAAGTCAATTTGATGCGAGCAACCACCGCTGTGATCCGGAATACGGGATCCGGGATCCTGGAAGCTGCGTAATGCTTTAATTTAGTCGCAATATTGTCCTGCCGTTTCTGCCCCTTTTGGTCGCTTGCCACTTAATGGCCAATTAAGGGTAGACGACACAAGAAATAATTAAATAGCTATCGCTGCATGAACCCCAATGAACCGAACGCAGGGAAGCTGGCAGCTTAAAGGGCCACCACGGCGTATGTGCAATGTGGCGATGAGCTTTCAACTTTGCCAGCTCAGCCCGAATGTATGCAACTCGCTGGCGAAAGACCAGCAGCTCCTCGAAGCTATGCAAATTTAATTGGAAAATTTCTTAATGAGATAGACTCTGCTACTGCCACTGCTGCTTCTGCTGCCCATCTGCTCCTCTGCCCATCGTTTAATATTTCAAGCGCAATTATGCAGCTGCGCATTAAAAATCAAACACAACACTAAAAGTGACAGCTGCAATCAGAGCGCCTTCGTTTCGGCTCATCGTAAAATTCAATTTGGCGCAAAGTGTTTAATGAAAGCGGCCAGCATCCGACCATCCACCACCCGCTTTTAAGTTTTTGCTGCCCAGCGGGTCATCTTGGCCAACAGCCGGGAACGAAACAACAGCCAACTAAGGTCCCGGAAAGCAATGAATTGTTTTACATAAAAATAAAAACAAGCTCTCTGGCATCAAATTATGCAATCCCATTCTGGGGGCGAGTGCAATGGCCGTAATAAAAATTAACAAGCTACGCAACGTTTGAGTTTTGAATTAATTGACAGCGCGTATGCACAGGACAACGGAGCAAAATAGGGTGCAGGAACAGGATTGTCAGAAACAGGAGCTCTCCTCCACCATCCAGCTTCTTCTCTAAAATTATAAATTCGCATCTAAATGAACGCTGCAAAATTAATGAACTGCATGCAGTTTAATTGAAATGAACATCCGCAGGAGGGCAAGGAAAGCCAGTCGATGGGGGGTTGCCAAGGTTTTGCAGGGAGAATCGGGACTGCATAAAACTCATCAAAACTGGCAGGGCATCGCCAAAGTCAAGACAGCGATTTAGTTTCGCGAAATTCACAAGAAAACTTCAACAATTTAAGCCTTCAATACGCTTTTAAAAAATTAACAAAGATATATTCTCTATTAACGCTTTAAGTTTTATCTAACACATCGTACAAAAAATGAAAATCAAATAATAAAACCAGTCTTGCTGATTTATAGTCATCATTTTGTAACTAAACTTTTTATAATAATTTTTTTTAATTTTTGATTAATCTTTTCTGGCCTAAATAATTTTTGATCTTAGAATAATAATAATTCATAATAATATAAAATCATGTACAAAAGAACCCTTTTTTCATCCTTCTGCAGAGAATTGTTTACAGAAAGCCATAAATATCGGTTACAAATCCGTGTTAGATTTTATTAAAATGGAATAAGCCAACTCACCTCCATGTAAGATCCGTTTTCGACCACTTCGATCCCTGCAGAGCGTAGCGCCGCACCCGTCTTCTAAAGCCGCCGACGTCGTGATCCAGATTATCTGGTGAGAAACTATACGCGTTCTGCTTGTCGCCCACGCCGCATCGAGGTCGCTTTATTAGCCGGGCCGTTGCCGAGTCGATTTGGCCCGTAACTGGAATGTTGCCAAAAGACTGCAGACGGTAATGTTAGTTGTGAAATTGTGCATAATAGATGCGGGGGTTCTGTGGCTGGGATGGCATGGCATGGCTGGCATGGCATGGCATTCCATGGAGTGATGGGGATGGCTCTTACCTGGAGACTCCGGATTGCATCTACCAGCTGCTTCTCGGAGCGCAGGGCGCCCGTTTCCAGGTCCGACTTGGGCAGATAATCAAACTGCATGAGGTAATTGTACTGCAAGGAGAGATGGATAGATACATTAGGGAAGTGTGCCAAAGGAACGGGTATCTCAACAATGGCCCTGTCTGCCATATGGCCAGTTCGGTGAGCCAAACTATTTGTCGTTTTGCAAATGATGCTGCCTGCCAGCATCAACAAAAAACCATCTCACACAAAAAAAAAAGGACCAGGACCAAAACTTTTTGCATAAAGTTAATGATAAAAGCAACGCCAGATAGGACGGCGGCTGGCAACAACAAAACATAAACAGCAACAAAAACTTTAACATTAATAGCCCAAAAAGTATGCCACAGAAAAAAGTGCAAGGAAACATTGATGGAGAAGTGCTCGAAGGAAGAAAGCTTGGCAGGAATGTAAGCCATTTCCATATCTCCTGGCCGAAATCATAAAGCTGCCTTCTAGGGCTACTCGAAAGTAAAGGGTCCTGCATAAATTTAGGTATTTTTAAAATCAATCTTTAAGTTTGTTTAATATTTTGGTAGCCATAGAAAACAGCATATTTACAATAGGACAAAAAACTTAAAATAACTCATTTAAATAATTAGTCATTGCTAAATTAACTTTCATAAGCGTGTTATAAAATCAGTTGATATTTGTTAAGCATTTAATACTTTAAACTCCATGGCCAAATTATAATTTCTGATGATATAATAATCTTTAAAGCTTTATTTAAGGCATCGATATATGTTTTTATTTACCAGGCCGAGCCCCCTTAAATTTTTTTTTTGCGATAACAATATTTTGCCTTATATATTTACCCCATTGATTGGGAGTATTCCCTAGGGAATTACTTATGGACCCAAAGTACATATCTATGTATACTGGGTCATAACTGTAAAGTGCGAAACAGAACGCAAATAGAACCCAGCTCGAATATCGACTCGATTCGGTGGCCATATGTGTTTTGCCTCTGGATTTACATATTTTTACATCGCGTGCGCGCATATTTATTAACTAACGCACACAGTGGCACGCAGAACAAACTTGACACATACACCAGCAAATTACGTGACCTGCAAATTTAATTTTCTCTTTCATTTTCCCACATATGAGAAAATTGTCACACTCGCACCACGTTTTTCCCTACTGCCCCTCCTCCTCCCCCTCCTCACCACTCGGAACTTTTCGATTTTTGCCTTACTTGTTATTGTCAGACGCTTAAAAAATTGTGCACCAAAAGAGAGGAGTACAAACTTTTGAATGGCCAAACGATTTGCAAATTTCATGAAAAGAATCGTTAGCCAAAAGTTGTGGTATTGGCATTGGTATTGGTATTGGTATTCTTATAGAGGCAACGTGATGTGTGGCGATTAGTTGGGATTTATTTCGAATGATAAATGGCCCATCTACATTGTGTTTAGGTGCTGAAAAGTAGCTGTGTGCGATGCATATAAATGCACAAATCAAATTCCAACTCGGAAATAGCTGGACTTTAAATAATATTAGCTAAACTTATGGCAAAAGAAAGTTGTTTCTTTAAGAGCTTTTACCATTCTCAATAGTTCTTAAATTTCCTGTATTGCTCTTAACAATAAAAATCCTATCAGCTTTTAATTATTTCCTCTCAGAAAAGCATAAAAGCGCACAGAGTTTGATTGCTGAGTGAATCTGCAGATTTGATTCCACTTTTGTGACTTTCCCTCGAATGAGTCACAAAAGAAACACTAAAGTAACCACATGTTGTAGTTTAAACTTAAGGAAACTTTCCTGGTTGGAATAACAGCAGAATGGCCGAGGGCAGCATTTTGTATGCTTCTGCCAGCCATTTTATTTATTATTTTTTTACGCAACTCCAGCAGCGTTGCAAGTGCATCAGGTTCGCAGTAAAGGGCAAAGGAGGAGCAATGGAAATAAACCCGACATTGCAGCCGGGGGCAGATGCAGCTTCTGACCCCAGGTTAGCACAGTTTCCAGCCAAATGTGCGTCACAAAAAACTTGGCTTAGACCATCGCCCCTTAACGGATTTGTCACGTTGCTCGGAACGCGTCAGCAGCTGCACACCGGCCATACGTAACCCCAAGTAACGTAAGAAAGCCCACACTAGCACTCGCAAATTGAAATTCACATAACGATCCCCCACAGCTATTTGAGCACTCTGTCTCCGCCTCTGTCTTTGTCGCCGAGCCCCTCCTTTTGTCGACTACACGAAAACAATATCAATTAATATATGTATGTTGAAATGCAAAGACGAAAACGGGGTACAGTCGAAATACATTAAGGTGAATTTTAGGAACAGAAAATTATCTTTTTTATTTTTAAAATATTAGTAAAATTTTTGGGTAAAATAAATAAATAGAGATTTATATCTTTGTCAAATTGGGTGCTTTTCAAGAATCCTTTAAATAAGTCTCAAAATAAGATTATTTTTGGTCCCTGGTGAATTTACTTATAGTTTCCTAGATTTTCTTTAAAATTAATAGTTAAGTTACGGTCAAATTTAAACGTAATCACTAAGATTAACTTATTCAGAAGTTTTAAGAAATCGTAACAGAAAAATGTTGGATCCTTAATATACGCCTCGAAATATTTAAATCTGAGAAGCTTTATATTGAATGGTGTTTTTATTATTTTGAATTATTTTATAAAGATATTTTAATTTAATAATAAGTAGCTGCTTGGCCTTAAAAAGATCTTCCTCTCTTTTAAAGACTACAATTCAAATTTAAGCTCATAGAAATATAACGGAATAGAATGAACATTAAACTCGATATTTTAGCACAATGCGAGTTCGCCTTAGGCAAGTCTGCCTGTACACTCTGTGGGTGGGGAGAAGAATAATGTGGCACACAGCGGAAGCCGAATGTCTGTCCAGCGGAGACAACAGCAGACGCCTCAAGTTTCTTAATGAATGGAAGACTTGTCCATCGAGGAGTTCGATAATGGGGGGAATTGGTTAAGCCTGAGTTCCTTTTAGTCGAACGCAACTAGTCAATTTGGCTAATCGAAGGCTTTGCGGACTGTAAACAGTACTTACGAAAGGTGTGCCAAATGGCAGAGAGCCTAACATTTTACGACGCCAATAAACTATAATTCGTAGTTATGAATGGATGGATGGGTATGTGAATGAATTGCTCAAGTGAGCGACGAAAGAGCTCACATTTGACCCCCACCAGCGCTTTTAAACAACGTTCTCCCACCCCCTTCTGTATCAATCATTTATGCATTGGCCTTTTGCGTTTTTAATGGGAAATTTGTGGCCCGACCTACGTGTTTGAAAATCGGAGGAAAAGTGGGGATGTGGCGGTGGGGTCTACGTACGTGGCCAAGCCATGATTCTGACTAATAGAAAAGCGCCAACGGAGTGGAAAAAGTCGGGGGAAAAGAGGTGAGCATCGTATCAGAAACAATAACAGTAAAACATTGCTACGTGAGTATTTGTCGTGTAAACAAAATCATGTTATCAAAATATAATAACGAAAAGCAATAACGAAAAACAATTGAGAAAAGTGCGAATGGCGAGGGATAGAGGCGAGTGTATATAGCTTTTCCCCACTGCCATCCAATAATTGTGGGGCTTAATTTAGTTAAGTTGTCGTGTCACAAAGAAAACTTCTCGCCTCGGCAAGCGGGTGAAAGTGTGAAAGTAAATTGAACGATGAACGAGTCGATATGTTTATTATTTTATTGGATTATAATTATACGAGAGCGGGTCACACAGAAATAAAAATAAAGGGCTTATCGGGCGCCTAATTCAATTAACTTCAAGGCGAGAGTGTGCTTTATTAATGGGAAAGAATGGATAGAGGGGTCATAGCGAAGACAAAACTAATGAAACTCATACATACGCTAGGTATTTAAAACTACAATAATAAAACTAAGGAATATGATATACAAATAAAACTTTGAATACAACATACATAACTAAACTTTTTAAGATGACTTGAAATAAAGCAGATAATTATCCAGTTAGTTTGATTTAAAAATCAGTCATGTTGGGGCATTGAAAACCGCAAAAACAAATTATAATGGTTCATATGCTGGCCATAACTCTGTGCTCCACATGCGACTGTGGCTAATAAAAACCACCTACAAATGTCGCCGGATCGGCAGGCAAACAAACCTATAAAAATGACAGGCAACTGCAACAAACGAGCGCATCCATCTAAGCCCTCCCTACTCCCCCTAAAAAACATATGCATTCTGGCACCTACCATGCGCCTCCTGCCAAGAAGGACACAGCCTCAGATCCTGCCACAAATTCTGTGAAATGCGCAAAGAAGGAAAAAAAATAGAAGGAGCAGAAAGCTGGAGACCGAGAAACCACAAAGAGCATGAAATCGAGGCCAAATTGCCAGGATATGGACCTAAATATGTCGGCAGAACAACAGGTCCTTGCCACAAACAAATTTACTGCAAGTGAGTGTGTGAAATGGATACTAAATCAATCATATTAATGGCTTTATTGAGATTGTATTGGAAGTGGAATTAAAGCAAGTATTAAATCAAATGTTTTAAAGTGTTCTGAGCTGAAATTTGCAGACTGAAATATGTATAAGTAACATTTATCATATGATTGAATTCCTATTTATACCCTTGCAGAGGATATTTTAATTCAGATGAAAGTTTGCATCGCAGTGAAGAGCACATTTCCGACTTGTAAAATTGTGACCCACTCAGTATTGGACTTCTATAGTCTATAACTTTACCAAATTTAATACGATTCCAAAGTGGCATACCTCTTAAGACTCGTGTTTTGGATCTCTAAAAAACTGCATTCAAATTTATCATTATAACGTTGGTCAAAATTGTGACCCATTTTAATGTAAGTTTTCACTAAGTTTTCGATGACTTGAAAAATGGGGTCCCAAAACTCGACTTCTAGAGTCCATAACTTTACCAAATATTATCCGATTCCAAAGTGGCATACCTCTTAAGACTCGTGTTTTGATTCTCTAAAAATCTGCATTTAAATTTATCATTTTAACGATATTCAAAATTTTGACCCATTTTCATGTTAGTTTTTACTAAGTTTTCGATGACTTGAAAAAAGGGG